CATGTCTGTATATAAGTTTTGGTTTTTGTATGGTGATAATATATGTATGATCTTGGACATGTGAGAACTTTTTATGTATATATGGGTGTGAGTGATTAATGTACAAAATGTTTTTGTTCATGCCATTATGCACAAGCTTATTGGACAAATTTTTATAATTTTGCTTCCGCTTCTGGCCCCATATATTTAAATATGATTTGATTTCTGTTGTCTGAGGCCGTAGGTAATCTTATAATTACTAACCAATTATGATCCAAACCTCAAGGGATAAGTTCAGGTCATGACGGAGGTCTTATTAGGTCCAGATAGAAATGGTTTAAAAACAAAATGCACATAAATTAACCTCATGCTGAAATTAAAAGTTGTTAAAATGTGTCCATTTTGCCTGAATGATACAACTCAACTCATATCCAATTTAAGCTAATCCGTTTATATCCATTTATTAAATGGGCAAATTTTGATTGAGTTGTCTTAATTTACAACTTATTTTAATCCTTCCAAAACCACTCATTTGCCACTTTTAATCTAATCTAACATAAAGCTTACTTAAATTACTAAGCATATGCATATATATATATATATATATATGATGATGATGGACATGAATTTAAAATAGAAGTGACAAACAGTCGAGTTTGACCAAATTTGATTGGGTTAAAACTTGGTGATAAATCAACTTAACTCCAACTCATTCATTTAGTATACAATTTTATTTGAATTGGGTTGAATTGAAACTTGGTGATAAATCAACTTAACTCCAACTCATTCATTTAGTATACAATTTTATTTGAATTGGGTTGAATTGAATGCTAGTTGAACTAATTGGTTTGACAAAAAAAATTAATTTTTTGCAATTTTATGATTACGGATGAGCATAATTTTTGGGGGGTAAATTATATTTTGCACCCCTACACTTTGTACCAAATCTTATTTTGGTCCTTACACATGAAATCATGATAGTGAACCCCCTGCACTTCTGGTCAAATCTCACTTTGATCCTTACACATGAAATTGTGACAGTCGACCCCCCTGTACTTTTGGTAAAATCACACTTTGGTCTCTACACGAATGTAAATGTCCCATTTCTGTTATTTAATTGTTTAAATCTTTAACAAAATCTAGTCATCTGATAAGAATGTCACTACGACATGAGGGTAAGAAAGGAAAATCATCTATATTTTCCACCAATACACATTTTATCCCAAAATTTACATCAAAATATAACTGTATTAGGCTAAAACAAAACGCAGATTGTGAGCAATTGAGAAGATAAACTAAGATTTTATATAAATTGAAGTCACAAAATTTTATTTTTTAGTAATATAGTCTTTTGTCTATTCATCCATTTTTTTTTTTTCTCTCTTTCATATCTTTTGTCACATTTTTTTGTTTCAAAAGCTCTATTTTCTTGCATTTTTTTGTCAATTTTTAACATACTAGCATATATATATATATATATATTATGTTATATAATTCTCATGTGCTTGTCACGTTAGACAATGTGTATTAGTGGGAAACATGTATGATTTTCCACTCTTACTCTCATTTTGTAGTCACATGACTGGATTATGTTAAAGATTTAAAAATGAAGTAACAGAAGAGGGACATTGACATTTGTGAAGGGACCAAAGTGGAATTTGAGTAAAAGTGCAGGAGATTGATTGTCACGATTTCATGTATAGGGATTGACAGTCATAATTTCATGTGTAGGGGCTAAAGTGAAATTTGGTGCAAAGTGGAGGAGTGTAAAGTGTAATTTACCCATTTTGTTTTCTCTAAAAATGATCTGTACAGATTATACATGAATAGAATACATTATAAGAAAACACATTTCAAGATAATGTAAAAAAAAAAATTAATAAACAGAGAAAATTGGTGAAAAGTTCATCCTAAAGAGTATATATATATATATATATATTATGTTATATAACTCTCATGTGTTTATCATGTAAGACAAAGTGTATTAGTGGGAAACATGAATAGATTTTGTTAAAGATTTAAAAATGAAGTAACAGAAGAGGGACATTGACATTTGCGAAGGGACCAAAGTGGAATTTGAGTAAAAGTACAGGAGATTGATTGTCACGATTTCATGTGTAAGGATTGACAGTCATGATTTCATGTGTAGAGGCTAAAGTAAAATTTGGTGCAAAGTGGAGGAGTGTAAAGTGTAATTTACCCATTTTGTTTTCTCTAAAAATGATCTGTACAGATTATACATAAATAGAATACGTTATAAGAAAACACATTTCAAGATAATGTAAAAAAAAAAAATTAATAAACAGAGAAAATTGGTGAAAAGTTCATCCTAAAGAGTGAACAAGGCATTAAATTTAAGGAAAAATCTTATTTGATGATAAGGACAAGCCTGAAAGTTGCCGGAAAAAGTTGCCAGAAAATTGGCCAGAAAAGTCGCCAACATCGACGGCCAATGGCAGTAGCTGGTGAAGGTGGTGGTGATGAGGTAGAGAAATGTGTAATATTCAACAAACAATGTGTTCAATGAGTGATATGTGTCACATTTCAACAGATAAAAATATAGGTTTAGTGTATTTCAATAGATAGACAAACTGTAGACAAATAGGTTGATTCCAATATATGGCTTTTACACAAATTGTATCCTTTTAACCCAAAAAATTCAAATTCAAAAATAGATCTATAGCCTGAGTATCCAAAAAAATAAAATCAAGTTCATGAAAAAAATTATAAAATTATGTTTTAATATTATAAAGTTTTCATAAACCTGAGATTACTTTTCCTACATTCTATTTAAATAATATTAGCCCAACCTTACATACATATATATATATATATTGTGTGTGTGCGCGCGCTCGCATAATTTGTATTTAGTTTATAATCAAAATGAGAACAAAAAAATAAATAACTACCTATATTTAAAAAATAAATAAATAAAATAGTTTTGTTACCTCTCACTTCTCACTATTGTAATTGTAATGCAAAGTACACTAGTAAAATGTTCTCTCATTTTTTTAACATTTTTTTTTTCAGGGTTTGAAGTTTAAGATAGAAAAAAAATAAAACATTTCTATAAAGCGCAACCATTAATATTTTAATTATTGAAGATAAAGAGTTAAACTTATGGAGGAAAAAATTAAAATCATTTGTTCGGATTTGAAAAATGTTTATTTGAGTGTTATATATATATATATATATATATGTATATTTATAAAAGGATTTGATAAAACCTAATTTATTTGGAAAATACTGTTTTAATAATGATTTTAATTTTAAGACGAGTTTAAGTTATATTATGTAACATATATAACCGACCCACTCATTTCCCACCACCACCTGGCCAAGAAATGAAATAGATTCCGATATGCAATGTACACTCTGTAATTTTATAACAAATTATATAAATTTTTATTAATTTACATAACGTAAATTGAATACAAATTCACATAAGTGAAAACTTAAGTGGTTATACGAATTTGTGTTCAACTTTCATATTTTTGTGAAATCACTTATATAAATTCATGAAAGTTTATGTAATTTTGTATAAAGTTACACACAACGTGCGATGCATACTGGAAATCTTTTCCTTATTTTACTTATTTTATTTATATATTTTTTTCAAATATGTAACTTTTTATTCCAACCCACGACAATCGATTTATTTGAGCAAGCCTTGTTAATGGGCGAGTTCATAACATATTGCCACCTCTAATTTAAAAAATAAATATTTATATATAAGTCTTAATTTATAAATTTATATTCCATTAAATCTTATTTAAAAAAAATTAAAAATTGAATTATTTTTTTGTGCAAACCTAAAAAATTTTGTGTCTATAAATGAACATGATAATAGAATATTAATATGAAAAACAAAAAAAACTGATAATATTCTTAATTTTAAAACAAGAAAAAATTGATAATATTTTTGATTTTATTAAATAGTTAAATCAAACTAATAAATAGAAAGGTAAAAAACATTTAATCGCTCGTACTCTTTTTTTTTCATCAATTAGTGAAATAATTATCTAAAATATTACTATGTAAAATTTATAATATTCTTAGTTTTAAAAATTGAAAAAAACTAATAATATTTTCAACATTACTAAATAGGACTTATTAGTTCAAAAAATCTTAAATAAGACCTAACCTGCCGTAACATTTGAAAATAGAACTTTTCGATAAATAACTCTTTAAAAAAAACTATAATAAAACGCGTACGTAAATCTATATTTGAAAGATGGATAACTTGAATTTTGAAGATTTTCCCTTTTTACTCATACTTTAAATTACAATTGTTATTTATTTTTATAGATACAAATGTAAGTGAATGAATAGGTAAATGATATCCGATTAACTTGATTTTTTACAAGTATATTCTACTTGATGTATTCTAAAATGTAAACGGTTTAGATTATCAAAATGGACCCTGAAAAAAGGCCCAATTGGCTGCACAGCAGTGGCTGCTGTGCACCCCCGCACAGCAACCACCCCAATTCCCACTCTCTAAACAACTATCTACATGAGGTAAAGTGGGGACCAACCCTGTATATTTATAGCCATAGAGAAAGTTCTACACTAATACTGTGTTTAGTTGAGAGATTTGAGAAGGGATTTGAAAAGGGAAATGAAAAAAATAGGTGAAATGTGAATAAAACATGCCTAAATTTCACATAGTTTCACACACTTTTTCCCTTTTCCTTTCCAAATCCCTCCCCAAATTCTCCAACCAAACACAACATAAAAGGAACTCTGCCCGCAAAAATTGAAAGACGAATAACTCGAATTTTGAAGATATAGGCAAGCCTTTTACTCTCTAAACAACCATCTACATATGAGGGAAAGTAGGGACCAACCCTGTATTTTATAGCCATAGAGCAAGTACTACACTAAAAGGAACTCTGCCTGCACAAACGCTTAGTAACATCTCCTGTTAGCAAATAGATGAAAATATATCTACCAAATCCAACCAGAATCAGATCATTGCACACAGTAAAATCATTCATACATAAATCGAAACCATACACTTGCAAAAAAAATCTGATATCATGATGGATGATATGATAATACAAGTGACTATTCCCCCAGAAACTTGAGAAGAAAGCTAAAGGACAGTAGTATCCTGAGTCGATATATATGCATAAACAAGCTACTAGTGCAGCAGTTCACCATCACAGCATCAACCAGAATTCTATGCCCAGATGAACCAATTTCAAAGGAAAGCATGTAAAAACATAATGTTCAGTTATAAGTCGAACTATTATTACCTGACAACTTTGACCAGAAAACCCTTCGTCAAAATCAGCTACAGCAGAGTCGCCCACGTTTTTTTTTTTCTTTTTTCCCCTAATTTTCCATGTACTTCATATTACATGCAGACAAATTGATGTTATGCAAAAATACTGTTCTCAACTCCAAGGCATCTTGCCTGATAAAAGTTCATAGAGAAGTAGTGCCTACATTGTGCATTGTCAATCATATTAAAAACAAAAAGAAAAAGCAGAGAGAGAGTGAGAAGGATGAAGGCTTGGATCAGCGACGGGACAATGATGGACTACCAAAAAAGTACTGCGATGAAACGGGGGCAAGTGAGGCTTCAGGCCTAGGCCCTTGATGATTGTGAAGTCGGTTATAGTCGGACAGAGCATTCGAAGCATAGGTTGAGTATAACATCCCTGCATCATCATTTTCTCTCCTTCCTAAGCGAACGATCTCAGTTGGATAAGATTCTCCCCTCCATGAATGGTCATCAGTCTGAGTTGGGTAAATTTCTTTCCTTTGTAAATGATCAGTCTCAGACAGGTACATTTCTCCCCTTCCACTGAGAGAATAAGTACCTGAAGGGACTTCCTCTCTCCTTGAAGGTGGGCGATATGGGTCTTGAAATGAACCACCATAGTGGTAAGTATAATATGGAACCTTCGAGTAAGAGTCCACCATAGATGTAGTAGTTGTGGTTGCAAGGGGAGTTGAAGACTGCAATTCTTGTCTAGGAAAAAGACCGTAAGTTTGGTACTGTTTCTCAGTAGCTAAAAGTGGATCGTGATGAGTGGCTTGTCCTTGTGCGGAGGCAGTGTCCCTATAGATATTACCTGGGTGCATCAGGAGGTGCTCTCTTACATGGCCCCCTGAGTGAGGCTCCACGGTAGGAGTGAAGTTCTGTCTCTCTCTACGAAGACCGTAAGTTCGATATTCCTTTTCACTAGGAAAATAATCTTGAGAAAAATCTTCTCTCCCTGTTGAAGCAACATCTCCGTATGTTAAATGCTGATCCCCTTCATAAGAGAGCACATGGGTATGAGGATCTCTAGTCAAAGATTCCCCCTGTTGATAAGCCCAAGATTCTCCTGCTCCCTCATTCACTTTCCTATTGTGAATTATCATCATTGGAGCGGGTTGGATGGGTGGTGCACGTGACTGCAATTCAGCAGGCCTGAAAAGTTCTATGAGCTTCTTAACCTGCAATGGGGAAATTCATACATCAAAAAATCATGAAATTATGATCAAATTGTCAACATACTGGATGAAGTCTCTCTCACTTGTTGGACAGTAAGATCCGTATCAAACTTGTTCTTTTCACTGTAGTTTTCCTTGATTGCCCTTCTAAAGACACTCTCCGGGAGGGGATAACAATCTCGGTGAATATTAAAGCGCACCTGAAAAGTCGAAAACTTAATAATAATATTAATAAAATGACTAGATTGCTAAAACAAGGACAGCTATATATTCAAGGAGAATCAGCTAGCAGAATGTGACCTGAACAGGGAAGGCCCCCTTAAAAGCTGCTGGCTCAAGTTTCATGCCACCAGAAGATGATGCCTTATAGATCCCATACATGAGCTTGAGATCAAAATCATAGAGAAAAAGCTTGAGCCCTGGTTTGACTCCCAACACAAGGTCTTTCTTGCTCATTGGTACACCCATGACACGATAATGGAAACAATCTGGTTTTGTCTTTGCATTACACATGAAAATTAAACCACCGAGCTTCTCTTTTTTCCTTTCATTCTGTTGACTTTCCAGCTGACCAAGCTTTTCTTTGTTCATTTGACCGCGTTCATTTTTTTCCAACTTTTCTTTGTTCTTTCCATTACGTTGCTTCTTTTGCAACACAATTTGCTTTTCTTTGTTCATTTGATTTTCTTTGAACTTGATAGCTTCTTGGTTCTTTTCAGAGTGCTCCACATTGATAGTGTTCTTTTGTTTCATTTCCCTCATATTTAGATTCTTCACATCCTCTTTTTCATTATTGGTACTTGTTTTTATGCTCCCCAAGGCTCTCGTTCTCCTCCTCTTGTTTTTTGCTCTTTGAACCTGTGAAGTCCCTTCCACTTCATTGATCTTTATAACACTATCAATTGGAGATTTCCTGTAAATTTTAGGTTTGGGCTTTAATGATTTTGGAGTTCTATTTTCAGATGATACTGGTACTGAGGCTGCTTCAGCAGTATTCCCAGTTCCCTTCTTTTTCAAGCGCGCCATAGTCTATGCAACACAGAAGCTTAAGAATTGTATCCTGATTCCTGCAAGCAATGGTCATATCTTACGAATTAAATGATTTTTCTTTTACTTAAGAATCCTCCTAACCGAAAAAAGCACGTAGGATTTGAAGATCAAGCAGAAGCATAAACTGGATTAAAAAGAAAAAAGAAGAGTACAATGAGTGAAGTACTCGCCAATAAACCAAGCCTTGTGTACCACTCAAGTGGAGTTGGCTAGATGAATTCTCTTTTTTGCCATTCTGCTCTGTTGAAGGTATATGCTCAATTAAAATAAATATATTCAAATTTTTAATACTACTGGTCAAATCTTCAAGGGGTGAGTCCTATTGGTCATGTGGGCGTGCAGGCCAGATTTAAACAAACTTGAATAATTATTAAAATCAGAATTCACCACCAAAGATATCAAGAAATTAACCAGGTCTGGATGAATTACACCATACAATTTTTTAATATCAACGACAAATCTAGGAAACAGTATATGTGAAACTGTAAAACAACCTGGGTTTCCAACGTTGATTGGCCAAGATTACACAGATTACACTCTCAAACTTTATGAAAATGGGAGGATGATCAATATTTGTGTAGTGTGTGCACAGATTTCAAAAGTTGTCTCATTCTGCCAAGTGAAAAGAGGGGAGACCAAAGAGGGAAACAACTGAAAATAGATGGAAAGAGGGAAAATGAAGGATGAAATTGCCAAGTGAATTAGGGAAAAGGAACATGTATTTGAATGTAATACACGAACACAAGAATTTTTATTTTATTTCATAAGAACATAATATAGACACCATCTCCATTTGTATTGGGGGGCCAAGTACAAGATCATAATAACATCATATACTTTATATACATATATGAAGAACTTGTAAAACTTTTGCAGGGTCCAGGGCCCCCCTAAACCCTCCGAAATTGACTGCATTCCATGTCAGTTTAGGTTTCCCCTCCCCCCCCCCATCTTTTATGGTGATCATGCCACTCGTCCTTACCATTGTATTTATAGATCTTTGTGGTACATGACTAAACCATCTTATCATTTTCTCTCTCAACTAATCTTTAGTGGGTGCTACTCTTATCATTTCACAAATATACTCATTTCTAATTTTATTTTTTATAGTCTTACCTCACATTCATCTAAGCATTCTCATCTCGGCTACACTCATATCGTTCCAATGACAAATATTCAAGGGGTGTAACTATAGATGTAGGCAAGTGGCCTAATCATGGCATATTAAAGACGATGAACAATATGTTGTGTTAACTAGCTAGTTTCGAAGATAGGAAAGCAGTATACTCTCTATTACTAGTAAAATGCAAATGTCTAGTATGCAACACTATTATGGAAGAACTGTAATTATTCAAGAAAAATAACTTTAACACATACACAATATTTGATACCTTTTTTTCCTCTAATCTCACACCGTGTTGGAAATAAAATGGCTACAACCATTCGGACAATTAGGACAAGAATTGGTGGAAGAATATCTTTTCACTCGTATTTCAAATAGCTAGATTACAAAGCAATATATAGATTAAAAGGACAACGTATGGCATCCTTAACATTAAGACTATTCATACCAATATCAAGATCCACTTACTCCACCAATTTGTAACAATTGTACCACCAATATCTTACTAAATTCTCTTCACACACCACTAATGCCCATTACCGCTTTATTCTCCATAACTTGCAAATAAACAAGCTTCCTCCAAGCCTATAGGTTCACAATCAGAAAAGCGTTCTAGAGATGAAGTGAAGAGGTACAAAGCATTATTGGTTGAAAAATCGGTGTTCAATGATCAAATCAAGTACATCAACACAAGGTATCATTTCATTAGAGAGTATGTGTCCAAGAAAGACATGGAACTCAAGTTTGTGAAATCTCCAAATCAAGTTGCCAACATTTTCACCCAGCCCCTCAAAGATGATGCTTGGAGTTGATAAAAATCAAGTTTAACGGGAGGCGTTGAAACAATAAATTTGATTTTTCTTATTTTGGAGTTATGTTTTTCTTGCATGTAATGGTGATTACTAGGGTGTTTATTTGCAAGTCATGGAGAATAATGTGGTAATGGAGATTTTTTGGGTAAGATAACGGACATTAGTGGTGTGTTCAGAGAATTTAGTATGATATAGTATGATATTAGTGGTATAGTTGTTACAAATTGGTGGAGTAAGTAGATCTTAATATTGGTATGAATAGTCTTAATGTTGCGAATGCCATAGGTTGTCCTTCAAATCTATGTATTGCTTTGTAATCTAGCTATTTGAAATACGAGTTAAAAGATACTCTTCCACCAATTCTCTTCCCAATTGTCCAAGTGGTTGTTATAGCCATTTTATTTCTAACAAAGTGGTATCAAAGCTAGGCTCATAGTGCCAGAGAGAGTGAAGGAGATGGCAAATGGAATGCTTTCATTTCCAATGCCCCTATTCACTAAAAACAACCATACCACTAATACCCAACTAAATTCCCTCAACACACCACAAATGCACTACCACATTATTCTCCATAACTTGCAAATAAAGACCCTAGTAATCACCATTACATGAAAGAAAAACATAACTATCAAATAATAAAAATCAAATTTATTTTTTTAACACATTGCCTATGCATTTTGATCAATTATCTCCTTGTTCAAAAACTGCGTTCTATCAGTCTCATATTGATGGACAATGGCTTCCAATGGTGAAATATTTGATTTTAGATTTGTTAGTCCGGTGAGTTTGATTTTGATGATGTATACAATGCATCAGTTAGTTGTGTTTCATTGTGACATATGTTTGACAAATGATTACACAAAATTAGGCTCTGTTTGGAACGATTTTGGAAATAGTTTTCTACCCATACATTCTAACTTCACGTTTGGATACGCCTTTCAAATTGTATTTCCACAACCAAGACAAAACTCTGCAGAAAACTCTATCTCAGGCACGATTTTCAAAAAAAAAAAATCAAATTTGGCCTAACCGGTCGTCCAGCCGGTTGACCGAAACAGTGAATTTTTTTTTTTTTTTTTTTTTTTTTTATTAACACATGTTAGTTTTTATATATTCAATAAAAAATATTTTTCGAATTTTTTAAATTTTTTTATGAGATTTGAATAGAATTTTTGAGTTGTGTGTTTGGTTATGAGTTGTAAGCTTTTATATCAAGTATCATATGTCACATCAAAAATTTCCCACTCAATTCAAAACTCTTTTCAAAACTCATTCACCAAACAATTTTCTACACTCAAATCATAATTTCAAAACTCACAAACTCAAAATACAACTCCTATTCTCAAATCATATTTAGAAAACTCTACCAAACACTATCTAAGATTCTCACAGAATTCATCTTAGCAACCGGTGCGAATGTCTCCTGGTAATCCACCCCATAAGTTTGAGTGAAGCCCTTAGCAACTAGTCTTGCTTTGTACCGTTCTATAGAACCATCTGCTTTGTGTTTTACCGTGTACACCCACTTACATCCAATTGGATTTTTGCCTCTAGGTAACTCCACTAACTCCCAAGTGCCACTCTTGCTGAGAGCTCTCATCTCTTCCATCATGGCATGCTTGCATTCAGGAATAGAGAGAGTATCTTGAAAATTGGTAGGTAGACTCTTAGAAAACACTTTAGACAGAAAAGTTTTATATAACGAAGATAGATTAGAATAAGAGACATGATTAGTAATAAGATGCTGAGTACATGACCGAAACCCCTTCCTATTAGCAATGGGAACATCTAATCTAAAAAATCAAAAATAGAAGCACTAGAATTAGAATTACCTGGACTCTCAGGAGAGAAGGTTGACTTTGGATACTCATCCGAAGAAGAAGTTGGCAGTAGAGGAAGGAAAGTAGTCTTTTGCATCTAGGTGACTTGTTGTCTGTCATTGTCCCTAATATAAACTTTGCTTGTTTCCTTTTCCTCAACAATTGCTGTCTTATCATCCTCTATCTGTTCAACCATGGACGGAAGTGGAATAGGAATCTCTTCACATCAAGGCTCCCCCTGAAGAGATGACTGTGATACCGGGGAGGTCGGAAAGTAAGGCTAAGACTCAAAGAAAGTGACATCTATGGAGACAAACCATTTGTGAGTGGGAGGATGATAACACTTATAACCCTTTTTGGTGACAGAATAACCCAGAAAAACACACTGAAGGGACCGAGGATCTAATTTACCATGAGTGGGTGAATGATTATGGACAAAGCAAAAACAACCAAAAGTCTTAGGAGAAATAGAAAACCCGGAAGAGATAGACACGAACAAAACTTGAAGAAGTGTTTGTTTTTGAAGGACTCGGGTAGGAAGATGATTAATCAAATAAGCGGTAGTGAGAACCGCTTCCCCCCAATAGGATCGAGGAACCTGCATCTCAAAGGATAGACAACGAGTGACATTAAGGAGATGGCAATTTTTGCGTTCTACAACACCATTTTGTTGTGAGGTATTAGTACATGAAGTCTGGTGAAGAATGCCATGAGTGGCGAAGTAAGCGGCAAGACCAGAGTCAATATATTCCCCCCATTATCAAAACGGAGAATTTTGACAGCTACCCTAAACTGAGTACAAACCATTTTATGGAAGTTTTGAAACACAAAAAATACCTCACTTTTATCTTTCATCCAATAGATCCAAGTGGCCCTGGAACAATCATCTATGGAGGTAACAAACCATTTTTGACCGGTTAAAGACACAAAACGGGTTGGAACCCATACATCAGAATGAATCAAAGAAAATGGAACAAAACTTTTATTAATAGGAGCAAAAAAGGCTCTATGTTGTTTTCCAAGTTGACAAGACTCACATTAAAAATCTGACACATTATTTTTCTCAAAAACAAAAGGAAATAAATGCTTAAGTAATAAAAAAGAGAGATGTCCTAAGCGACAGTGCTACAGCGAAATGTCTTCCTTAGTGGATGGTAACTGAAGAGATGAATGAGCCAACTTGTCTGTTTGATCTAGAATGTAGAGCCCATGTTCTTCTCTACCACTACCAATCCTCTTTCCCATGATAAGGTCTTGAAAAAGACAATGATCAGGAAAAAAACGTCACGCTACAATTTAAGTCACGAGTAATACAACTCAAAGATAAAAGATTAACACTGAAATTGGGAACATGGAGGACAGAAGACAAATGAAGGGAAAATGTGGTATGAATTAAACCTTTTCCTGACACAGACGAAATGGTACCATCAGCAATACGCACTTTTTCCCGACCTGAGGAGGGGTTATACTCTGAAAATAAATTAG